GCGCACTACGCATCCTTTTCCCGGTCTTTTTCCTCATCCTCGTCGGGGTTATTGTCGTCGATAAGAGATTGCGTCCAAGGGTCCAATGCAGGTGGTTCCATCTCACGGAGCTCTGAGAGCATATCACTCACCTCATTGTTGACATCGTCTTCGTTCTCTTCTTCCCCCTCGTCCTCCTCATCACTGGAGCTGCCGAAGCCAGACATGAGAGTGCCGGAGCTGATGGCGAATGGCCCAATCCCGTTACCGCTGCTTTCTTGAAGGTCTGCGTTACCGTTGAGTCCAGCATCAGCGAGCGCGTTGGAGCCGGTATTGCTCTGGGAGTTGGAAAAGGACGATCCCAGGCCAGAGAGACCGACTGCTGCCAGCCCGTTGCCAGCCATGCCGGCCCGGTTACCCATAGCCACCTCGGGACGGACTCCGCCGAGAATGGCGTTGTCTCGCTCGCGAGTTTCGGCGAGGGCGCCTTCCACATAGCTGATCCATCGCGGGTCCATAACCCGTTCAAGAACAGTCTCAGACAAGAGTTCGGGAGGGTGACGTTCCGTAAACTTCACCACCTCTTCAGCGATGAGAGTGAGATGTCCCATGTAACCCATGCGAGTCTTCATCCTGGCCTGTGACTCGTCACTAGCGAGTTGGCCCTTGATGATAGCCGTCGTGATATCCGCAGCCTCAAACAGTGAAACTGCCAAGGTCGGGTTGTAGCCTCTGTCCATAGGCCCGTTAAAAACCTGCTGAACGATATCATATACCACGTTATGGAGAAAGTTGTTCCACGGGTAAGCAAAGAAGAAGGACTAAACTCTGATCAGCTTGGATTGATGACGCATCATCGCGAGGAACTCACCAAAATCGTGGGCACAACACGGTATTCGACAAATTGCACCTTGAGGTAGTCGCCGACAACAGGCTTCACGCTGTTCGGGTCAGGCCGATCGGGAACAGCAGGCGGTAGGTCTCCAGCCTCCCTTGTCGCATCGTCGTCAGTTCCTGGAGCCGCGGGGGCTTCTGGCACCTCGGGAACTGGAGGGGCCATGGGAACCTCCGGAGCTGGCTCAACTTCGGGTTCGGTCTCCTTAGAAGTATCGTCCTTGTCCGCAGTCGCATCAGGATCAGTGGTGGATTTGGAAAACAGAGGGGCTGGCATGTCTTCGGGGTGCTGGGGAGGTTCAGGCACTGCCGGCGCGGTCTCTGCTGGCTCGGTTTTCGCCTCAGAATCGGTGACGCTAGGCGTATAGACAACAGAAGAGTCGGACTCGTCACCCTTCTGATTGTCCTCGGGAACAACCGTTTGATCAGCCTTCTCGTCAAGCGAAAGTTCCTCTACCTTGTTAATGGTAGCATCATCCGAGGTCTTGTCAGCCAGGTCGTCTGCGCCGGAAGTCTTCTCAGTCTTCTCAGATTCGGATTCTTTCGCAGCCGGCTCTTCACTCTTGGCGTCAACGGTATCCGGCTTCGCCTCCAATTCGGACTTGGCTTCGGAAACCGCTGCTGCTGCAGCAGTCTCATCGATGGAAGCAGTCTTTGGCTTGTTCGGCGAAAGGGGAGCGACCACCAGATCGGGGTCATCAAATCGTTGTTCCTTGATTTTGTCATCTGCGACGTTGAGTCTGGGCGAGCTGAGCGGCTCGTCCACAAAGTCGTCTTCGTCTCTGTCCAGGAAGGACGAGGCTGGTGCAGCGACAGGAATCTCTTCTTCGGCTTTTACGAACTCGTGGGACGTGTCCTCGTTCATTTCGCGGCTGGGCTCAACCTCTTCGAATCCGTCATCGTCTGAGATATTGGTTACCTCTAAACGACGTCCCTCCTCGGGAGAAGAACGACCGATGCGCATCGTCAAGTCATCCGTAGATGATGGCGGTTCTTCTCCACGGTTTGGGGTAAGCTTACCCTCCGTTCTTAAGCGCTGACGCTCAGCATCTCGAGCTGCAATCACGTCCTCGGAACCAACTTCATTGAGTAGGCCCATGTTACTGCAGTGAAGCAGTTCGGCCATCAACTCGCACGTCTTGAATCGGTCGAAGCCAAGAGGCTCTATCTTTTCGCCAAAGGTCGATTCCAACGGTCCCTTCTGCACCGGGATGTTCATAATCAGGTTGACGAAATCGGGAATGTGTTGCGCAAACAGGCGGAGGAGGGTTCCTAGATAGATGGGGTCTCGGCTCGAGGGAACAGAGTTGGCTTCGGTGCCAACGTCTGGATCATAGTCCGAGTTATTCTTCCTGATGACTTCGATAATGATGCCGACACCCACGGTCAACGGGTTTCCACCTCCTAACATGTACTTGATCAGCTGTTCCACACAGGGTTGCGACACCAGCTGGCGGGTGAGTTCGTTCGGGCCGATGCATTGCTGCTCGTTTTGCGATGCATTAGCCGAAATGGTAATGATGGCTTTGATGAAGTCGCCTGCAGCTGTCTGAACAACCCAGCTGTGCTCCGGGCTGAGGCAGGATAGCAGCGTCGGCACAACGTCTTGGCCGTATAGCCACTGCAAGAAAGGGTGCGATTAGCTCTCAACCTTGTTCGGCGGGGAAGAGGGAAGGGGGGGGTTGCTGGGCTGTACGCACCTCTACAACACCCTGGCCGCCCTCTGTGCGGTCTAGGGCAATGATCTTGAGAAGCAGATCCATAATCATAGGGCACTCAACATGACGGAGCAAGTCGGGCACGGCCTCGGGGAGAGATTTGAGAAGGATAACCATCTCCTCCGTCTTCTTGTCGAACAAAGCCTCGTTGACTTTCGTAAAGTAACTAGCTTGCAGAGGGTCAAGAGGCGTCGGGCGCTTCAGAAACTGCCAAAATTCCCGCACCAGGTCTTGGTTTTCCATCATGGCCTCGTAAATGGACCACGTGTCGGATGACAAGACTTCGGCAGCAACGTAGGCATAGCGATTGCGCTTCTTCTCCTGCTCTTCCTCCTCGTTGTCGGTATCGGTAGCTCGGGATGAGGCGCGAGGTCTTGAAAAGGGAAGGAGGCGACCCTTGCCCTTGATCTCCTCGGCGGGTTCATCTGGTTCTGGGGTAGCGACGGGCTCTAATTTGGGTGCGACGACGTATTCGAGCAGAGTCTTGAGCACATTGTCCTCGCGGAGGTATTCGATAAGCTTCGTGTTGTGCTGCTTGAGCTCTTGAATCAGGTCGCTTTCGTCGAGGAGGTCTTCGACGGTAAATTCGGGCTTTTCGAGGATAGTATCGATGGTGGATATGTTGGCGTATCCGCCAAATCTCCAGAACATGGTGGCGGTATTTGTGGGTTGTCTATGTCACGGCGCCGGACGAGTCGCGGCGACGATGGACAAAGAGCGATAAAACAATCAACTGGGCAGCAATCCGATGATTGAGCATGCGAAATTCGTATGTCTTAATGGGATAGACAAAGGGCGTGTATCGGCCGCAGAAATCGAATCGTAGCGAGAGTAATAAATGGCCAATCGTTTTCTCTATACCTTGGGTTCAACGCATGCGAAGGACGGGTTTGGGGGTATCGGTCGCTTGAATGACTTGGCGGCTGAGCGAGGAGGAAGTGTCAGCAAAGAGATTGTCTAGAAGGCTTTTGCTGACAAGCGAAGGCAGAGCAGGAAAAGCAGGGCTTGATGGTGGTGGTGGTGGTGGTGAGGTCTGCAGATGTTGTCGCCGGCGGAGTGGAGGGGCCGGCGCATCGGGCCCAGAAAAGAGGAGCTGATTGATAATAGAGGGGGAGGGAAGAGATGAGGGAAAATTGACGATCCAGTCTCGAAGGAGAGGGGAAAACCCAGCCGCGAAACGATGAACGACAGAGGGGATTTCGAGTCAATCCAGCTCGCAACGCGCGTACTCTTTCCAGGCAAGCGGAGAGCAACAGGAAGCACCATGAATGAAGCAAAGCAGTAGGGAGCAGCGAGCCCAGGCAGTGAGGCAACGAGTTCGGGGGGAGGAGGAGGAGTAGGACAGTAGCCAGAGGACCAGGGTACGTACAAAAGCGGGAAAAGATACGGTGATTGCTGTTGTACAGAGGGCGCGCTGGCGCTCTAAGCCTCGTGTGCAAGGAGAATTAGCGATGGAAAGGACGGGCTGAAGCCGGAGCCTGTCGTCGGTTGTCGGATAGATATGTATCGGACGCTTCGAATGTGGTCGCGTGGGTTCTTTCCTCCGTACGTCTCGCTGTCTTTCTCTCTCCTTGTCGGTGTTGGGGGAGAGGAGGGGTGGTGTGTGTGTGTGTGGGTGTGGATTCGTGGATGCGTGGTGGTTTTTGGACTCGGGAAGAAAGAATGGCTGTGGTGAGGGTGAGATGGGCCACCGGACGTCGTCGAGATTGGATTGCGCAGCGGTGGGTTTGAGGTACCTACGGTTACCTTAGGTAAGGTAAAGGTGCTCTTTTGGCCCAATGGAATCGCTGGCTTTCTACGCAGTAGGGACTTAAGAGTCGGAGGGTCGGTCGTCGGAGTTCCCAGGTTGGCACTTTGGCTTGGCCGCAGTGGGAGGAAGAGGAAGAGGTCGGGTGGCAGAGGTGGGATGGACACCGGGTGTGCCCTGGTGAAAGAAAGGACGGCCCTTGTTACTCTTGTCCCAGTCGGCACGTCAGGTACTAAGGTAAGGTGAGGTAGGTAGGTATTCGTACTTGCAGGTGCACCAAGTCTAGCAGCGGTTGTTTTGCTGCTGACGTGCGGCTGCGGCTGCGGCTGCGGATGTTTGGCTCTGTTTGTGTGCGTGTGCGCGCGCACCCTCGGAGCTCTCTGGGGTCGAAGAAGCTGACGGAAACACTGAACAGTGGACATTGAACGAATGTCACGGGGTACCTTGCGTATACCTCTGATTCCGTGTGGTTCAGGGGGGAAAGGATGGTGCGGTCGGGTACTTCCTTTCCGTTACTTACCTACCATAACAGCAGTTAAGGTACAAGTAAGTATGGGTGCACTGCGGTAAAATGCAGTGGAAAAAATGATCAAGTATTCCGTTGCTTCGTATGACATACACCGTCATGAACCTCACCCATTCATTATTGTCCAAACATCGTCATGCCTCCAGATTGGGCCCAGATTGGGTTGCCTTGCTTCCCGCTTGCTACCAAACGTGCTGCCGACCGGCTGCTGTCTCTCGGAACCCAAGAGGCGAAGCAAAAGCAGAGCAGAGCAGGGTATGGAGTGCATTCATTCATGTCTGATGAGGTCAGTCCGGTCAGACATGCACCTACAGTCAACGCTCTTATCTGCATCCTCGCCCGTTCCATCTTGATAGGAAAAGATTCTAAATGCTGGGCTGTGGTGTTCATCTTCCCCAATCAAGTTGGTGATGGATTCCTCTTAGGACTCTCTGTTCAGTCAAGCCCCGGCACGGGTACTTGCGCAATGCGAGACAAGGAAACTCGCTAAGCTAAAGGCGAGCGAATACTCAAAGCGATTGTGGCGCCGCCTCATTCAGGTTCCGGGGCCTATCCTGAAAAAGACCGAGGCATGAACTGAACTGACTGCTTTATTCCGATCGCAGATATCAGCGACATGGTTGAGCAATGGTCAGACTGTCCTCGGTGCTCCCAAAGAAATCTCCAAGGCGGCAGCAGCATGAGCAAGAGAGTCTGTACAACATCGCCGAGGTCCTCGACAACGCCCAGCCCTACAGGACCACGAGGGCCATCTCGAATTGTGGCCTTCTTCCGACTCCGTTCCATTATTAACTTGCGTGCTTTGCCCACAGTGGGATTGGATTTTCGCCTAATCCAGCCCAAGGACGTGGACGGTGGAGAGGAGCCGTGAGGGCAAGGCAAGGGTCCTCCCATTACCCGCAACTCTGTCTATTCGCGGACCGTGGGCGTCCAGGCCAGGCCTGAGATGCCCCTCCATTGCCCTCTGCTCCGTAACCGTACGGGCTCAGCCTGGCTGAAGTATGAGGGGGAAAACTGGAGCATGAGATGCATATGTGCATGTGTGAATGTGATTGTGTCACAGTGTGACTCGATTGGTGATTCGACAGCCCCTCCTTGCCCTCATACCCTCAAACACCTAACAGTACTGCGTAGCGACTCTTCTCTTTTCTCTTGTTTCGTTTCTGTGTGTGTTGGGTTTCTGTGTGCTAGGCCAGGGTTCTTGTTGATTCGAATCGTGCCGAAACACACCCAAGGCAGAGTCCCTAGTCCTTTAGTGTAAGACTGAAGATGATCTCCGATAAGGAATTGCCTGCTTCCATGAGATGGGATCTGCCCCAGATGCCAATTTGTTTACAGTAGTTGCTGATAGCAGGCCAAGTCTCGTGCCCCTCATTCTCCCGTGTGGTACTTATCGGAGGTTCCTCGGTTGCGAAATTTGCACTGCTGCCTCGCTACACTTCTTGGATGTGGATCTGACCGTTTGTACCGGGTACGAGTCTACTAACAGCGTCAAGTCTTACCTACATTACTTTTGCTCCAAGCACATCAGATCCATTATTTTCTTGTGAGAAAAAGGGGATCAAGGGATGGAGAAAAAAGAAATTTGTAGGATTTCTTCTTCGTGTCACTGCTCGCTTGCCGGCCGGTGTAGATTTCGTCGACAGTCAGGGGCTGGCCTTGTTCATCTCATGTCTGCTCATCCCCTCCTGTACCATTCTGTCCATTCTGTCATGTGTACCGTTACGTTACCCAAATAGCATGTGAGCTCTTTCCACACCCCAATACCTACACACACCCAAGAATGCGACTACCTATGCTCGCATTCCATCTACATTATTTCCGTACAATTAGCCCCAACGGGATCAAGACTTCTCGCTCTCCCGCATCACTCCAGAATGCTGCGGACGGAATGTATTATCAATCGAGACCAGCATACCTACAAAATGGGCTGGACCTTTCGATCCTGAGCCCGCCGGGCATCATTCTTCTGCAACCCCCGGCTTGCCACGTTGCCAGCCCTCCCTGCAGAATCCTTCCCACGTTGTCAGCCGATGCTCCCCCCGAGACTTGTTCCCCGAACTTCCCCAACCACCTGGCATTCCCCAACGTAAGTGGTCCAAGCGACCCTTCCTTCTAGCCGTTGGAGTGCCGTTGCCGTTTCCTCAACTGGGGCACGTGAGATTGTTACAGAGACGATCGAGTTTCGTGGAGCACAGATCCATACCCGATCTCTGGCAACTGGAGGATCTTAATAGACAACATGAGCATGTCTGCATAATTTCATGGCCATAGCTATGCCTGGTCATCCCAAGTTCCTGTGAGCCATCAAACAACTCGCACCAGTATCCCATCGACTGCTAGATAGCGTCAGCGTCAATGCTTCGCCACAGCACGTAACGTAATAACAGATCACGTATTATTCCTTCATAATCCATATTATCACCATTCTAAGTTATTTCAACACATTTAATTGAAAACTCAAAAATGTATTGGCATTAGAGAAAACCAGAGGTCAATACACTAACGTCATTCAACACTGGATGGGATTCCCAGCATCATAAAGCTACTAGATAGTAGGGATGCCTGTTCAATGCAGAACACTCAAGTTGCGCATAATATTTTCCGGTTCAAGAAACGTTTTGACGAATGATAGAGAATACTGTTCAGTAGTTGGCTGCCACTCTATTTCTGTTCAGAGGACGAAGGTCCTTTCTATCACGGACAAGTAATATTCAAGTAAAAAGCCCAAGTATCGGAGAAAATCCACTTCACATCTACTCCGAGTCATTGATGCAAAAAACTGTATAGAGTATTAGACAGGTCAGGCGGAAGCCATGCAAAGTGTGATGTACTACAGGACAGACAGCGTAGGCTTGTCAATCAAGTCATTTGCAAGAGACGTGTCTTACTGGCAGTCTGGCTGTCTCTCTATCAATCTAAACCAGAGCCTTCAGCTCTGAGAGGCATACCTTGCAGACTCGTGTTGAAGCCATTGATCGAATCTCTCATATAGTTGAGTTATTAGGACTGCCAAAGCAATCGTCGTGCTTAGACGGCTTGCATAAGCTTCCAGCTTTCAGCTTTGAAGTAAGCACCGAGACGAAATTGTAATTGGTCAGATTGATACATGTAACTTCGGTACGCTCAAGCTGCTCGAGCAAGCCGTAGTCTACAAGTGCATCTCGTAGAACTCAATGTTAAAATGCCGACACTGCGGCTGATAATTACTTCACAAGCTAACAAGTGACATTTCGCGTCACATGAGTTCTAAAAGTAAAGAGAGTTGTAAGTGTGCGGGAACCACTGCGTAGCGTTAGCTAGCTCATCAACCGACTGTTTAGTAGTTTGCGGGATGTGACTGAAGGTGATTTTTCCTTCTTATAGCAATTCATTGACCATAAAGAGGTTAACCACTTCATCGCTTGTTTCTGCTTGATTAGCATGCAAGGCTGCTCATGATACCCCCTCGAGAATCCCTCTTGCGAACTAAAAAGCCACGGCGATCCTGCATTATTAAGCTGTTCATCTTGGTGCCTTCACTTGCTCTCACCTGTTGGATTTCAAACCATTCAACTACATGTCAGCACCATAGCCAATTTAGGAAACATGCTGCGAGCTGCATGCACGATTCATAAGCCACAAACCAACACTCAACCTACAGACAGCCACCCAACCACCCCAACCATCAACCTTATCTAGTCTAACGCCAAGAGATATTGCAAATCCGTGGGGGATAGGCTCCCTCGCTTTCGCTCGATGCAAATGCGACCGCTACCTTTACCTAGGGACGATTAAGCCAACAGTAAAAGGCTTAGGCTACCGCAGACCAGGAGTTTTAGACAGGGTGGTCATGCATACGTCATTATCCAAGCGTCGATTTGGCGTCCACATCTGCGTCTTTGGTTGCATTTTAGACCACCGCTTCGAAGGAGGGGTCGTTGTCTTCTAAGCAAATCCACTTCTAGTGGAATCTGTGAATGTTAGTAATGGACCGCTTGCCGTTCTCCACGGCCCACCGCCTGCATGGGATTTAAACCCGTCGGTGTTTACAACATGAGATGAATATATATGTGCACTGTCCATTTAGTCAAACCGTCAATTCAACTTCAAAGCATCCTGAGCATACATATCTATCTAGATCTCCCTTGAACATTCCCTATCTGCTATCATACCCAATTCTCGATTGTAGCTGAACATCATGTCTGGGTTCACCGCACTTCCGAAGGGCTCGCTCATCCTCGTCACCGGAGCCAATGGATACATCGGATCTCACACGATCAACGTCCTCCTCGGACTCGGCTACCGGGTGCGCGGCACAGTTCGATCAGAGAAGCCGTGGCTCAGCGAGTTCTTCCACAGCAAATATGACAAGGACGCCTTTGAATTAGTCCTCGTCCCCAATCTCGAGGACGAGGAGGCTCTCGGAAAGGCCATGGCTGGTGTATCTGGTGTTGCACATGTGGTAAGTGATTATCGAGAGAGTCCGAGAGTTCAATCAGAGAGTAAGGAAACCAGCGGCTGATCCACGCGGAATAGGCGTCCGACATTTCAATGAGTGATGACCCTAAAGCCGTCATCCCCTGGGTCGTAAAGGCGACTGAGACGGCCCTCTCCGCCGCGGCAAAGCACTCGAGCATCAAGCGTTTCGTCCTCACATCTTCTGCTTTTGCCGCCGTCATTCCTCAGCCCAACAAGGAGATGCACATTGACGAAAGTACGCTGTGCCATGAGAAACTGAAATTCATCCTCCCGTGATGCTGACTGATTTTCCTTCAGGTACCTGGAACGACTTTGCTATCAAGGCAGCGTGGGACCCGAACACGCCCAAGGAGATCAAGCCCGGCGCGATTTACTCTGCTTCCAAGGCCGAGGGCGAGAGGGCTGCGTGGAAGTGGATTGAGGAGAACAAGCCTGGATACTCGTTCAACACCATCCTGCCCAACTTTAACGTGAGTGTTGTGTCCATAATCACTGCGATGACAACGCTAACGTGGTTCTTAGACGGGAGAAATCCTCCATCCCAACATCGGTGGCTCAACCATGGGCTTCGCTCGTGATCTGCTCAAGGGACAGGGCGGCATGCTCAACGCCTTTATGCCCCGTAAGTCTCACCTAGCCTTCATCCGGCACATCTTCATGTACGCCAGACTAACGACTTTGGCAGAGTGGTACGTCGACGTAACCGACGTCGCGCGTCTTCACGCCATCGCCCTGCTCGCCGAGCCCGTCAAGTCTCAGAGGATCTGGGCCTCCGCACACCCCGTCAACGCATCCGACTTCATTGACGCTTTCCGTGAGCTGAGACCGGACAACAAGCTGATCCCGGAGAAGCAGGCGGACGAGGGGCGTGATATCAGCGAGCTTCCCCCAGCGGCCAAGGCTGAGAAGTTGCTGCAGGAGTACTTTGGTCAGGGCTGGACACCGCTGAAGGAGAGTTTGGCTGTGGGAATTCGTGACTTATAGGCTTGCGGGGTTGCGATGTCCGACGAGTAGTAAACGTCTTCTTAAATGGCCTTCGCTCGGGTTCGGCAGCGAGGATCAGGTGGAAAGAGAACGGGAATATCTTAATACCTAGACCAAGAGCTGCCATGTTCACAAATTTTGAACAAATGCAATTCCACATACGTACGCTTGATGTTTGCGATACTGGAAAGCTCGAGAAATCCTAAGATATGGCTACTTATATATGGATAGTTTTTCTCCTAGATTCCTTCGAGATTTGATAGTTTTGGGTCTAAAAGGACTCTAATGGTCAAACTAACTCAATTCGTCGTAGATATTGCATTGCGAAAGTGAAGCTGTTCCGAAATTATAATTAAACCACAATGTAGAGGAGCATTGACTATGAACTTTGTTACTAAAGATATCTTGCCTCGACTTGTTTTCGGGGGTAGGTAAAGCGATTGGCCTCATGAGTCGCGATATCTGACTGCTTGAGGTGAGGTACCTTGGGAAGGCGTCGGGTCACGTGTAGATAAGATAAAGAAAGGACCCGCCTGAAGCTCGGAGTCGGTGCCTTGAATGATGCATTTCCTCCAAAAAAGTAGCAACGCGCCGTCTTTCACGTACGAACACCTCTTTGCGCCGCTTTGAGCCTGGCTAACAGCATGGCCAGCTTTCCAACTTTCGACCCTTCTCGCCTGACGAAGAAGGCGGCTGCTCACTACTCTTCGGAATCAGAGGACGAGGAAGAAGACGACTACCTAGCCCCCGTCACAGACCCGTCGCAAGCCGATGATTACAGCGACTTGAACCCACGAAAGCGCCGTCGCGTCGGCAACAGCAAGGAAAGCGCCGCGCTCGGAATCTTTGCGTCAGATAGCGAAGATGACGGTCCTGGGAAGCGATGGAAGAAAAAGACACTCCGCAGCAAGGGCATGAACTTTGTTTCTACCGGCACAACTACTCTCGACGAAGATGACGATGACGACGCGAAGGACACCAATACGAAGGAGTACTCGGACGACTCCAATGCCGATGACGATGAAGACGACGAGGATGACGTCGGAGGGGTTGGTCTTGGATTTGGTGGAGCCCGCGGTGGCCTGGGATTTCAGCCCGCTCAGAACGATAACGAGAGTGACGAGGACGAGAAGGCAACTGGCGCCCCAGCACGATCTTTCGCAAAGACAAAGTTCGATGGCAAGAACATCCTCGGCCGCGGCTTCGTTCCATCGTCTGCGAACGTGCCGGTCCTGAACCCCGACCTCCAGGACACCCCTTCGATGCCAAAGATGGCCCGCCCAAGCGCATTTGGCGCAAAGGGAGCGAAAGGAAAGCCGAACCCGAAATCGTTCGGTGCGCGGATGATGGCCAAGATGGGTTATCAAGAAGGAACAGGTCTCGGAAAAGAAGGACAAGGTCGAAGCGTTATCATCGAAGCTCACCTCAGACCACAGGGTGTCGGTCTAGGTGCCGTCAAAGAAAAATCAGAGCACGAGAGGAAGGAGGAGAAGCGACAAGCGAAACTACGAGGCGAGGAAGTAGTCGACTCGGAGGAAGAGGAACGGAAAAGAAAGCGAGAAAGGAAGAAGAAGGTCGCAAGCGCAGGCGGCAGCAGCAGCGTCAGCACTCCCAAACGACAGAAGCCCAAGTACATGACGGCGGAAGAGATCAAGAAGTCTGCCCCAGGACTCCACATCCCAGAGGCATTTGCGCCTATCCTGGATATGACAGGACCCGGGAACAAGCTTCTGACGACTGCTTCTGGACTCTTGACGCCCACTTCTGCCGCAGTTGTCGAATCTCCCGAGCTGGTGGCTGCGCGGAAGCTGGTGAAGCGAGCACATGCCGACCTAGCAGCCTTTTCGGAAGAGTGGAGAAACCTGGAAGAGCGAAAGACTTGGGTAGATCTGGAATTGCGCGAAAGAGAGCAGGAGATGGCGGAGCTCGCCTCAGACTTGGGAAGACTGCAACTGTTTTCCAACATTGTCACCAACGAGCTTCCGTTGGCTACTGAATGGGAGGACGTCATTCGCTGTCTAGAGAAGGCCGTTCAGAATATTGGACCAGCGACCGACGAAATCTCGGACCTCGCGGTGGCTGCCATCTACCCCTTCTTCCGCGACCCCGATTGGAACCTACTGGAGGACCCTACGCGGTTTTCTACTGAGCTTAAGGGTCTTGGAAGTTTACTGATGAAGCCTGGCGAGGGCAACAAAGCCTTGCACAAGTGGGAATCCACTGGTCTGAACAGCAACGACCTATACCGGCAACATCAAAAAGCGACAACACCTTACGAAACCATGATGTACAAACTGTGGTACACAAGAGCCATGTCGGCCATCCGGGATTGGGATGTTTTTAACCCCGCACCGCTACTGGCTGTATTAGAGGCATGGGCAGACCTGCTGCCTCCCTTTGTTCGCGCCCAGTTCCTCGATGCCGTCGTCCGCAAGTTGGAAACAGCCGTAGCGGAATGGAACCCGAAAAAGAAGAGACAAAGCCATAAATTGCCTCATCTGTGGCTTTTCCCCTGGCTTCAGTACCTGCCCTCGTACCACCTGGAGCCCAAGGGCACCGGCTTGGTTGCCGAAGTACGGAGGAAGTACAGACAGCTCATTGATGTTTGGGACTTTGATCGCGGCGTGATCCCTGGCCTGGAACAGTGGCGTGATGTGCTTGGTGACCAATGGCGCTCCTTGATCATGAGCCATGTGTTGCCTGCTATGGGACGATACCTGCGCAAGAACTTTAGAGTAGACCCGAGCGACCAGGAGCCATACCTGCCTATGCTCACGGGCGTTCTCGAGTGGTCTGATATCTTGACGCCGAAGGTGCTGGGCGAGGTCATTGTTACAGAGGTGTTCCCCTTGTGGCATGAGAAGTTGAGTGAGTGGCTTAGCCTGGAGGATGCCAATTTCGAGGAGATCATGGCATGGTATGAGTGGTGGAGAGACGACGTTTTGCCCGACCCTGTGAAGAACTTGAAGTCGGTTCAAGCAGAGTTCAACAAGGGCATGGGCACTATTGAGAAGGCATTGTAAAACATGACGCTGGCATCGTAGTCGCAGCTTAAGCTTTAGGATCATCACTTAGAAGGTATCTTTTGCAACGCGCAATGACAGCACCCTCTCTCACTTGGATACAGTCAGTCGTGAGACGAAATGGTATGGCCTTAATTCATGTAGTGCCGCAAATGGAAGTGCCCATCTTACGAGGTACTTAGACTATCGATCTGGATTGAACCTATGTTATCGTGACCATGCAAGAGAGCTTGATCTCGACACCATTTTCAGTTCTTCGATCGCGTTTCGCACGGATGCAGTTGACATGGCACATGCCATCTAAGCTTGATCCCACAGGACTCGTCCGGACATTTCTCCCGGGTATGACCCCTCCCTACATATCCAATGACCGGGGTGATGATCACATTTGGAGTTACCATTAGCTAAACACGACAAGCAGGCTCGAGGCCAAGCTTTTAGAGAAACAGGATAAGCAAGGAAGCATAGACGTAGGACACGGGTGTCGTTGCAGCCAAGCACCAGTCAAGCACGAGCCAAGCTCATGGTGAAGGTTCATCCGCTAGGCCATGATCGTTGAGTAGAGAAAGACAAACCGTTTGATGACTTCCTTGAGATGTGATGGCTGGACTTGGCGGTCTATAGGTAGTTTCCTGCGGCACTTGAAGTTGGGGCGTTTCCTTGGCGCTGTGACACGCGAGCTTGATCGTCGGTGAACGTGACAGAAACGCCCAGAGGTGTCAATGGTGATGAGAGGAAGAACCTTGGCTTTTGAGCGAGGCTTCTGCGCGATTACTCCTTGACGGAGATGCTTCGTTGAGCTTAGGCAGTGCGACATGTCCTCGAGGGAGAATGCAAGCTTTTCCGGCGGCCGTCGACCGACCTCAAGAGGGGAAAGGGAAGTTTCTGAAGGCTGTCACTTGCTAACTATGGTCAGTGTTAGTTCACGCAGGATATCCGATTCGGCCAAGATGGTGAGGTGAGCGCCTATTTCTGAAGTCGGTTTGAGACGAGAACCCCTGGACATGGCGATCTCAAGGGCCAATCACATGCGATCATGTAAATGCCACCCGTTCATCAGAAAAGGAGGAGCTGAAGAAAAGCCAAAGAGCTAAAAGCAAACAAGGTTCGGGAAGTGGGAGCCTCATCCCTCCATCACCCCTACCACCCCTACCTAAAGGCTACCACGTCTTCCACCCTGGTCACTTTTCTTCTCCCTCTCCCCAGGACCCGAGTCCTCATCCTCCTCTCCTCGAGCCCACGTCACCATTTCGAAACATCGACAGCCGTGAAACCTGTGGAGCGCTCTACCCAGCCTGGCTCTGACCCAGACGGACTGTCTTCGGATGAGCCCCAGTCTACACTAGCACAAGCCACTGGGATTCTGGGAATCCTCTTCAATGAATGTTCAGTTGACGGCGACATCGGACAGGCACTGCCCCTTTTCACTGTATTGAACATGCGATGGCTTGCCCACATAACCCATGCCAGATCTCGCTCTGCCCGGCAGCGCGATACTCCGGGTCAATATGGTTCCACGAGACCCGCAAGACAAGACTTTTAACAGCGGCACGAGCCTATTTGGGTGTTTACACCCGCGTCCTTGGGGGTTCATTGACAATCTCGAAGTCCGGCTCGACGGACAACTTCGGAAACGCGGAGGATAGTTATGAGAGAAACGAACGCCAAAGTCGATGGATCATGGCACGAGGTATACCTCCAGTCCTTGACCAAACAATCCTTCGCGGCTTGTGTGCATCAACTCACCACCCAAGGCCGAGCGACGAGTGAATATCTGATGATCATTATTCCATGATCCGACGTGATGATGTCCCGCAGAAATTTCCGTACCAGACGATCAAGCCCCCAAACCAGGAAGGGTACAGAGTATAGCTCTGGCCCCCAATAGCGCATAGAGCCAAGGCAAGACACGGCGGTAAGCGTGCACGCGGCCATCACCAGTTGAGCCATCAGTGACTTTGGGTTTACGATCTCAGTATGGCTTTGGGATGGAACCCCGTTTAACACCATTTCCCGCTGAGCTCAGCGGCCGGCGAGTAAGACCTGATCAGGACTTATAGGTGCATCAAGCTCTTGGCGTGAAGACAAGGCGCCAGCCGGACGTGCAGTTAGCATGGCGAAGCAAGACGTTGCTCAACGATGCTACCCGCCACCTAAGTCCAGCATGTATCGATGATACTCGAGCACCATTATGATCAACTTCAGCGCGTCTCCCACAAACGCCATGGACCTGCCATCTGTAGTTCAGACCATGGTTGAGGCTCCACCAGCACGGGCCCCTACAACGTTGTGCGGCACTTGGCATCGTCTCATCGTCTCCCAAAACAGGGGCTGGCGGGGGTTCAGACTAGCCCCCGAATAGCTTCATTGGCGTCTCTCCCTGTGTGTTCGCTCCGCCTGAAATTGCTTCTCGGGCTTCAGCTTCATGTCTCTATTCTGTGGCGCTCCTAGCTGTCCAATCCTGTCATCCCCAGATCGCACGGCACTTGCCATCATCCCCCTTGTCTCGGTGACCACATGGTCTCCCGCGTCTTGAGACCGGCCAGGAGCGGCCTTCCTTCCCGGCCGAGAACTCCTCACCCCATCCCCGTCTCAAGAATACGGTTATTTCACTAGCGTGAGGCTGTATTGGTCTACTCCTACCGGTGCCATTCCACGCAACATGGATCGTGTTTGGGCCCAGTACCGCCAAGTTGGCACTAGCTCGACATACCCCGGCCAAGTCAACCTGCCTTTGGGACATCTGACAAGCTGTCTAGGGGGTACATATCGATGACTTCCCGTCTGTCGACCCGTTCGGTGTTGAGAGATGATCTTGAGTCTTCTAGGGCTGACGTCTCATGGGAGTTTGCTTGCTTTGCTTACCTTTCGTCTGTCTTTTTCTCTTCATCCTGCCTTGACGGCACTTTACGTTCCTTTTTTTTTTTTGCCCAGGCGGCTTTGCTATTCTAATCTGGTTCTGTAGTCCAGAGGCAGGTCCCTGGTGTTTTATTCTAATAATCATGTCTGAGCGATCGTGTCCCGTGTCTGGGTCCATGGGTGGTGGAAGATGTCCCGCGGGTGCACATGGGCAAACAGCGAATCGACGGGTTGGACCGCGAGGTTGTTCCTTCTCAGGGTATACTCAGCAAGGAGACCTTCATGCTGCTTTTGATGTAAGTTGCCGTCTCGATCATGGACCTTCATCAAAGCTAACAGCATCAGATACCACGAGGAGTGGACGTTGATGAGTGGCTGCGTGCTAGGTGAGACCTCCTCCCTGGGTTATTACGGACAGGCTACTTACAAGACAAAGGGAGAGAAAAGCCATCAACGAAATTGTATACTCGGACATTCCGTCAGCGGACCACATCGCCCAAGTGAAGAACGTCGATACCCTCGTTGCGGATGACAGAAACCTATTAGCCGTTGCCTTGGGCGCACCAGCTCGACAAGTCATTCTTCGAGCCGAAGGGGTAGGATCTCAAAGTGGATGGAAGGACGGATACCTCAGCGCCGAGTATGGCTTCAACGCACCCGACTCGAACGAAGCTGCCGGAGCCCTCGCCAACTGCCCTGGACGCGTCTGGTCCGATCTCTGCGAGAGAATGCCCGGCTGTGTTTCACGGGGACGCGTTAGAGAGTCGGTTGCCGCTCTTCCCCTCGTCGAAGGAACCGAGGAATATGTTCCTGATCAAGCCCTCTGGGCTGCTATCGTGGCTCTAGGCATGCTATGCTCCATCTATCGGTACGAAGACAAGAATGATGGGTACGACGGTGTCAGCATCAACTCGATCTCTACCAAGCCTCGCGTCGAAATGAGCGACGACCTTGGACCGGAATTGGTAGGAATCCCGCGGACTATCGGACTGCCATACTGGCAGGTCTCACGACGCATGGGACGTGCTATTCCCCACCTGACCTTCTTCGACCAAGCGTCCTATAACATCAAAGTGCGCGATCCGACTTCCGTCTACCCATATGTTGGCCGCTTCGACAATACCGATCTCCGGTGGCCCATGTTTGGAGAGCGTACCGAGATTGCTTTCCTGAAGGGCTGTGCCGACACTTCGGGTAAGTCCAAATGCCATCGCAATAATCCCCAAGACACTAACCTGTTATGTGTGCAGCATCCTTCCAACACGGCCCAGATGCCATAGCCGCTTGCCAAGAGCACGTCATGAACCGGAACAACGAGGGCCTGTTGAGGGAGATGATCAGACTCAAGGAAATCCTCGAGAGGATGCCGAACGCCTTCCACTCCATCTCAACCAACCCCAACTCGGGCGACAACTACGTCTCGGCGGCCGAGTGGGTGCGATGGGGCAAGTTTTCCGCGCCGCTGTCCAAGAGGTGCCCTGCCGCTTCCGGTCTTCAGTTCCCGCCGTATCTTCTCATGGACGCCTTCCTTGGGCGCAAGAAGTACGATTCGTTCCTCGGCAACGAGGGTCTGCACTTACGCGCATGGCTGCCGTCTAACCTGCGAGCTTTCATCGCCTCTGTTGAGTACCACTATCGGATTCCAGAGTATGTCAGAGAGTCTGGAGATCCACGACTCATGGGCGTCTTGGATGGAATTATCGAGGCGTACACGGGCGAGCGAGGCTTTATGGGCACACATAGGTACAAGGTGTTTGGTATCCTCGAAGTCGCCTCCAAGACTGGCCGGACGGAAACGAACGGTGCCTCTGGCGCCTCTGATGATTCAGGAAGGCCGTGGGAAGAGGTGCACCGCCAATTCTCGGATGCCATGAAGGAACGCCTGGAGCCTTACCGTGGGAACATTCCCGTCGAACCCCATGAGATGCGCGGAACCTTTGAGGAGTGTCGGTACAAGTCGCGTATCCTCTCTCGATCTTTTGTCGACTCGGATCACGATCGGTCAATCTCCATGGTCACGCTTGACCTACACAACACTGGCATCACGTTCCAGCCGGGTGACAGACTCGCCATCATGCCCCTTAACAGTTGGGAAGAATGTGCCAAGGTAGCTGCGGCACTCGGTTTGGACACGATGCTTG